CTGCTTTTCGGTCTGGTTACTACCGTTTATGTCAGAACACCGGTACCCATCCCTAGTCACATCAATATCTTTGTTATACAGAAATAAAAACTATATATTTTGCTTGATACCTCAAAGAAGTCTGCTTTTATCTTACAGCTGATTTCTTACTGTGGCTCAATACACTGGTTAGGCAGCTTGTTTCTGACACTGAAAACAATCATTTTGTGTTTCATAAGTAAAAGTTTGGTGTTATTGTCTCAATATTTTTACTTATTTGAAGTTATTTTCTAAAATTTTAGTTTTCTTCTTAGAAGTAAATCCAAAGACAAGACTTTTTTAAATCTTGTTATCTGCCAAATTTTTTTGACATAAGCTCTTTTTTTCATTGTTTATCAGCAAGAATTCCCGCTACTACAGTAGTCGCACTCTGTGTCAAAGACTTTTATTTTGAAAGTCAGAAACAGGAAGAAGCCCATGCATACAAATAAATGAGGTTTCTGGTACAGTTCAGGGCGTAACAATCAGCACCACGTACCTGGGTTACTGGAGCCGTCATCGATGAACTTTAAGTCTGTGTCAGTTGTGTCTGGGGACTGAAAGAAATAAAAAGAGACTCTTATTAACAGGGACTGACTCTGGGGTTTAATAGCCTGTAGCCCAGGGGAAGCCTTCACCAGGTGAGTAGTGGGGCTGGCAAGGTAGGAGACTGTCAGGAAACATGTCAGCTGCTCTCTGCAGTTTAGCAGGCAGCACTGAAGCTCCTAATCTGTCAGAGCCACAAAGCCAGAGTACATCTACTCAACTACTCCCCCCAGGAGAAACGGGCGTGTTAAAGAAGAGGGCGTCGATTAAGTCATTGGCGTCGAGGTTTCTTGTGTCAGGTGGACACACCCACAAAAGAGAGGACAAACAGAGAAACAGCACTAATGCATCGATGCACAACGGGGAAAAAACAAAGAAAAAAAAACAAGCAGAACTGTAAGGAGTCATCTGTTGCTTAATTTGAATTAAATTGATCATGCTTGGAAGTGATTTATCTATTTATTCACTCTACACAAAGAATTTAATGTGTCACTCAACTGAAGCCGACACACATGACAGGCTCAGACGTTTTTTAAGATGATGCACAAACACAGACTTAGCTGTGGTTGGAGTTATTCCATGATACGAGCTGTGAATTCTTCCCTTTATATCTCCATTCCACTTTAGGAGGCGGGGGACTCAACCAATCAGTGTACAACGCATTCTTCTATTCGGCCGGATAATACGCTTGACTTAAATACAGCTGCGACGTAGACATCATGTAAATTTCATTTTAAAAGCTACTGAATTTGTCTGCAGGGATCGAAGACAGTATACACTGATCAGAGATAACATTATGATATAGAAGCAGGAAAGATGGGCAAATGTAAGGATTTGAGTTTGAAAGGACAAAATTTTGCTGGCTAACCGACTGGGTCAGAGGATCTCTAAAACTGCAGCTATTGTCGGGTGTTCCTAGTCTGCAAGGTCGTGGGCAGCAAAGTCTCACTGAGCACGTGGGGAGCATAGGCCTGTCAGATCCAACCCTCATCTGTGACATCTTGTTTCAAAAAAGGTAAAAATCATTGCCTGACACTTCAAAATTGGAATTTGCTTTATATTAAGTATATATATATTATATACTGCAGTGGAGGGTTCAGTTCACAGCCACTATAAAGTCAAGGAATAACTACAACTGCGAATAATTTGTTCTCTGTGAAGATTGAAGATAGGTTTGGAAACCCCCGAAGGCTTAAACGACCGTGCAGGAAACAAACAAACTGAAAATTTTTGTAATATCCATAAATATCCCAGAATCCCAGACAGCGGTGTCACAGACGACGGATATTCGACTCAGAAATAAACGACCACTTGCAAAGAAGCGCTGCTGCTCCACCTCTACACCAAGATTCCCCTGCTTCTCCCCTCTCTTCCTCCACACGGGAGGAAATTAACTCTTCCCCAAACAGACGGATACAAACGGAACCGTTATCCTCTTGAGAGCACAGAAGATCAGCGGATGAGATGAGATGAGCGCAGGTGAGAGGAAATGTCAAGAAGGACATGTCATTCTTCTGCATGATGTTCAACCCATGCGTGGAACAAGACAACTGATGGCAGTGAGTGTGAGAGTGAATAAGATACAGAGTTTTCCACCCATGTTAGTGGGATCAAAGACCTGTCTGCATCCCAGCAGCTGCTGAGCGTTAATGTTTGCGACCGATTAGTTGGCTGCGAGATAGATAGATGTGAATGGATACAGCTAAAGATGCTGTTACATTTGTGAGTCACAGGTGTGAGGCAGGGAGGGAGGGAGGGAGGCTGATGTGGTGTGCTGTTATTTAGATTAAAAGTCCGCCTTCATTGTGCAGGTGAGAGTTAGTGAGCCACACCACGAATAGGAGAGAGAGCACGGATCGATGACTGAGCGACAACCTAGACTGCAGTCACAGGGAGGCCTCCGGATTAACAGAAACTAGACGGAAGAGGCAGCACGGGAAAGCCAGGGAAGGGAGGGAGGGAGGAGGAGGAGGCTTGATGCCCCCGGAGATCGGCATGCAGCCAATACCTGGATGTCGTATACGGGTTTGGAAGAAGGAATGGCAGCAAACTGTCGGTAGTCAAACTTCTTTGTTGACACGGACTAGAAGGATAGCAAACAGGAATGAGCAGAGGGAGAAGAGGGGAAATAAGGGAAACAAAAGAGAGGAAAATGGAGGAAGTGGGACAAAGTATAGAAAGGAGAAAACACAGCGGAAGAGGGGAAAAAGTCAGGGAATAAGAGGAAAAGACAGAATAAAATGGAAGAGGGAGAGTGGAGGGCAGAGAGGCAAATGGGTGATTTAAACAGCCAGCTGTGGCATTGATGGGAGAGCAGTGTGTGTGTTTTCAGCTCTGATTGGATAGAGTGGCAATGAGCAAGATGGTGGATTCATGTCAATGTATTTTGATGCAAATGTACCTCTTCCAGCTTGTGAACAAACGAGCCTGACGGTTTCCTTTATTCAATTAAATCACACTGTAAAGTAAGTGTTACAGCTTTTTTTTAAAAAAATATTATGATGACTCAAGCTCTCCAAGTCAGTACAAACTAGCAAGTGGGGGAAAAAACAACAATTAAATCAGTCAATAAGAAACTGAAATTCAGGATTAAATCTTACCAGCCTGCCGGGCGAGGTTAATCCTCGAGGACTGAGCTCTGCCAAACAGACAAAGAAATGTACTTAAGCAGGTAGAAAAAAAGGGTGGAAAATGAGCTTTTTAGGTGAAAAGACAAACACAGTTTCCTTTAGCAGCAGCTTCTTACCCTCCATAGGAGTGGGAGAGGGTGTTGGTGCAGGCGAGGGTGACTCTGTCAGTTGATCTAGTGTCCCACGTTTCTTCCCGTCCCGAGACTTGGCGATGACCATCTGAGCCTTCAGTGCATCCTGCTCCAGAGACTTCATTCTGCAGGAGGAACGACCGCAATCAAACAAATATTCAAAGGCATTTAATAAAGTCCAACGTTTACAGAAATAGGGAGACAAAAAACTGACACTGTCTCTCTCTCACACACACATATGCACACCACTACGGGTGGGTGCAGGCCAATCACTGCTATTTTGGGGGTGTTCCTTGTCCTGGTTTGCAGGGATTAAAAAAATAAAATAAAATAAATGTAATTTCAAAGCAAAAATTAAGGATGCACTCCAGGAAAAGGGACCACCTACTGCTAGTAGGCGTACCCTCAGCTCACAGAAAGCTTGCGTACTTACTGCGGATCGCGTGTTAGTAACTGTACAAAAAGAACAGCAAGGCACAAATGAAAACGAAGAGTTCTGCAGAACGAGGGTGGAAGACAAGACAGAGAAAAGAAAAGAGAGGCGGGAACCAAAAGGAGCTGGAGATGGGAAACAGCAGAGACGTGCAGAAGCAGTACGGCACTGGAAAGGCAGCGGAAGCACTGTCAGTGTTGCTGCGAGTGCTTGCTTGGACCTTTCCGAACTCGGCCTCTAGCAAAGTACCCCAAATATCAAAGCACCCCAGCACAACCCCACGATGCCGTGCATCTGGCCCTGGCGGCCGGGGCCGAGGAGCAGACCTGAGCTGGGAGGCTGCAGAGGAGGAGGTAGAGGAGGAAGTGGGGGGCTGGGGTGCCGCGGCCGTGCCCTGAGATGCCCTCACTCGGGCCTGGTAGAGCCTCTTAGCCAGGTCCTGCTCATACTGCCTAACATCCTCCTCTAGGCCATAGGGCCTGTGCCCCACAAGGTCACAGAGAGAGGGAGGGAGTGGAATAAAAAAAGTGTACGCCAGGATGACGGAGGAATGTGGAGGACAGGAAGAAAGGCACACAGACAAAGAGAAGAAAACCAAAGAATGGAAGGTAAAACACCAATATAAGTAGGAGAGCCAGAAATGATAAATAAGACAATTTTTAGACACAGTAACAGTGAGACAGAGACAGACCACACACGCAGGATAGTCACTAAACTAAATCTACCGAGAATTTACGTTTGCTTTGACATAAAGTAACTTCTTGAAGCCTTTTATTTACTAGCTTGACAAACTGTAACAGGAAACGTGGGACAGAAGTGTCTCTAACCCTAAAGAATTTGCAACTATAAAAGTCTGGTCTGATCCTTGGTTTCCTTCGGTACGCATTTTTCTTTGCGTGTGGATGCTGCCGTCTTCCAAAGTTACCATCCAACTTAAGTCTCCTGTTACTCAAAAACTGCTGAAATAAATCCACAAATCGAGGTTTAGCCCTGAAAGCATTACATTCTACTTATTTTATTATCCTTGCTTAACGTGTGGCATGGTTGTATTACCGTGCTGCCCTCCACATTGCTCTCTTCTCGGCTTCCAGGGCTCGTTTCTCTGCAGGGGACAGGTCCTTGTCAGGTGCCACGGCCAGCTCGGGGCTCTGCATACGAAGTCGCTCTTGGTGTCTGCGCTCTGCTTTGGCTGTTCGGATGGGAGCTGCTGACTCCCCGGGGTAGGCTGGGACGAGACTGACGGGATAGACGGGTGCAGTTAGTTTGGTTTCTAGGCTTTGAACTCTGAACCCACTCAGTCATCAGAGGGAGAAATTGAAAATTCTGCAGCTTAAACTGACCCCTGCACTGGGAGGATGACGCGAGGAGTGTGATCAGTGGCTAACAGCAGGGAACATGTTGTCCTGTGTGTTGTAATTACCCAGTCATTGAGTTGGGCCTCTGCTCCAGCCTGAAGCTGTCCTCCAATGAATTCCTCTGAGAGTCTCCCTTGCCATCTACTGAAGAAGGCCTTCATGCAAAACGAACAATTAGTCTTCAGTGTGCGGAAGAAAGTGTAAAGAAAAATAGATTCGTCTAACACAGCTTCTCACCCTGAGCTGTAGTTTGGCGGTGTGGAGCAGTGCTGCGATGGGGTGGACACCGGCTCCACTTTGTACTCCACTCCATCCAGCAACACCTTTCCGGTGGCCTTCATCTGCGCCACCTGCTTGGCCAGGTCCTCCTCATCCTCATCCTCGTCGTCATCATCCAGTAAGTACTCCCGCGCTCGCTGCTCAAACTTCCTCTCTGGTAACAGATTATCATGTAAACACACTCCACTGATTTGAACACATTCCTTAGCTGCATGTGGCTAAGAAGGACACTCAGGAAACAAACCTTCTTCCTCCCTCATCTTCTTGAGGTCATCCTCCCCGACGAGGGAGACTCGAGGCTTGGGTTTTTCTGGCGTCTGTTGCTTCACGTCGATCTCAAAGTACTTCTGTCTGTCCCTGAAAGAGCGCTGCTCTGGGCTGTGCTTACCACCAAATACTGGGCTCTGTGGCATCAAAATCAGGACAAAATGAACAAAATTAGAAGCGATAAATGCTGAAATTAGAGCGCTTGCATTTTTCCCTACTGAAAAAGCAATTATATTATAATAACATTCGTATAGTGCTGCAGATTGAATGCTGAAGTCTGCACGAGTCAGCATTGTTGCACATCAGGTTCCTTCGTCTCTAAATCTATAAAGGTTTTTGGTTAGATGCTTGAAATAAGATGTCTGGTTAACGTCACAGTTCCACAGATTTTATTCTAAAATATACAACACCCCAGTAAATATCCCACAGAGAAGTGGCTAAATGAGACGACGAGGACTTTTAAAGTTATTACAATGAACACAGGAGGTTAGTGGTTGTGGTGAAATTCAGGTCATGCAGCTGTGGTTTAGTTCCCTTCCACCCCATGTTGGCACTTTAAGTTGTTGCAATTGCATTTATGCTTCAAAAATCATAACAGTGGTGTCAACTTGTGGAAAATTATCCCGCTGAATAGGGCTGTTCGATATAACGATATATATCGGATGACGATATAAAAACGTCTATCGTTTCATTTTACGCCATCGTTTGTTTCGTGGTGTCGCAAAATAAACTGTTTATGTTTTTTTCATCGTTTTGATGGTCACTGTAGTGGCTATATTAATTTCTTAAAGTTCTCTCTTTCTCTTATATTTAATATAACCACACTACGGACAGACAAGCGCCTGTTTTTATGCGACGGTAACACCATCGCATGTCCGCTTGTTTATGTTCCACATAAACCTTTCACAATAAAGCTCACGATCCTGTTGAGGCTTTTCAAAATACACTAAATTACGTGAAAGAGCAGATTATTTACGGATGAGAATTAAAAAAAGAGCCGCCATGTGCTAAAAAATAAACCTTAGACTCAAACGTTAGAACAGGCTTTTCCCCGCAGCACGCCGTGTAATAAATACTCAAAGAAAACGGCGGCCGTTACAACTTATGTCAAAAAATGTATAGTTTCATGCATCGGTTAAAACACTCGACTCCAGCTACATGACGCGCAGCTGGAAACACTTCCCGCAAGTCGAGCTGCCCGAGATTCACAGAATTTACAGAAAATGTTACATTTTTGTGATTTATATCGTTATCAGACGATAGAATTCTTATATCGGGATATGAGATTTTGGTCATATCGCACAGCCCTACTGCTGAACAGAACAAATGTTAGAGTTCGTTTTCTGTGATAACGCAAAAGCACAAGGAAAACAAAACAAACAAAAAAAAACAAAACTCTGGTGTCTGGGAAGATGTTGAATGCAGGATCATCTACACATAGAAAGTCCTCGCAGCACTAATTCCGACTAATTAAAGCTGCAGAGACATTCGCAAGAAGGTCAAAAGATGTCGTTAAAGATGCAAGAAAAGCATCTCAGACCAAGGAGGACGAAAAAAGAACAGCCATAAAATATTACCCAGCACCATTAAGCTGCATCACATCAAATAACTGACGCTCCCAATTCCTGACAGAAGTAGCATAGTTGTCTCCAACCTGTAGGAGCACAGACCCCACCACCGGTCAAGCCAAGCACATGAGCACAGGGATGCTCTAGCTGTGTTGGAGGCGGTGGGTACCTGCAGGTCCATGGAAGGCGTGGAGCGGCGCGGCACTGCTGCAAAGCTCATATACTCACGACGGTCTGATAAGAGGGGTTGCCGAGGGGAGACCTTGCCGGTCAGACCCTCGCCAGCTCCCTCCCGACCATCGGTGTCATCAAACACCTCGTTGTTCAAATCAGGCTGAAAAGGCCACACAGGTCATCACCAGATGATCAGTGCAGCACGCTTTGAGCAGATGTGCAAAGCTACAGCTTCAATACTCACATCTTAAACACCATATTGACCCAAATATAATGAAACTGTAGAGGGGGACTTTTAGAAACTAAATGTCTAGAAACAACTGCTGTCTTTATTTTCTGGTCAACGTGGTACAGCAGACACCTGTGATATGTTTACTCACCTCTGGAGAAGGTTGCTTTGGTTGGAAGTTGTTCCTTGTGCCATAAAGGTCCTGTTGGTAGTGCAAGAAATGAGTGTTAGCAACATGAAGGACACAAAAATGACTCAGGACTGAAATGACTACAGAGGATAGGCAGACCGATTAACAGATACACAGTACGTACAGGAGTCACCCCCCTGCAATATCACGTCAAATGATTGAAAAGTGTAACTACATTGCTAATAAGATGAACAATGAAAAACAAACACAGTAGAGTGTGATCGCTGAGACAGAACTCAGCACACCTGGGATTTTTAAGGAAGTGAAAACCTTGTTGTCCACTTTGATCACAAGGTGATGCCACAGGTTGCCTCCCACTAGGCCCTGGTGGGAGGCAACTTGTCTCCAGAACAATTGCTATAGTCACAAAGTCTGGTGAAGGTTTGCAAATAACTGTCAGCCGATTTCTAAATACAGACAGAAACTACAGAAAATGTTTTATAAAAATCCCACAATCGTGTACATTTGTACATTTAACAGTTCAACTGAGTACTGAACAGCAGCCTTATAACTGCGTTCAATGTGTGTTCTTTTGTTGACACTTAGTGTTTGCATGTTAGGTTAATTATGCTACATATTTTCAAGAAGATCAAGTTTGGGTGACCTTCATCCCATGAGGCACTTTATGAAGCACTCTGCTGGGTATTAAACCATCTCTATGTACAATTCATCACTAATGTTACAATATATATTTATATTAATTTAGTTTGCAAACCACGACTGGCAAAAACTATTCAGTTAATTTCTATTTAATTTATATAGCATCACATCACAACAATAGTTGCCTCAAGGTGTTAAAGACCCTCCAATAATACAAAGAAAACAGACAAAACCCCAACAATCATATGACCTATAAGGCGCTGATAGACCACCTATGAGCAAGCGGAGAAATTTCCAGCACAACCAGGCTCAGGGAGGCAATCAGTCAGGGATGGAAAACTACTTTGCTAAAGGACAGAGACAATGCACTTTTTAATTATTTGACATTTAAGCGATATTGCACAGGGGTGTAATATATTTTTAAATAAATGTGACTGAATATTAGTACACGAGCCACACATGAACGGATGGATGGATCGAGAGTCAACACCAATATGACAGATGATGGCAACGAAGGCATTCCACACGTCACAGCACGTCACAGGCCCCCCCAACAAGGCGCAGGCTTCACTTAGCGCAGCCTGCTCCAGTCAGGAGGATGCGGCACGAGACCAACCAGGCAGCACAGCATGCTTGTGTTGTTGTAGTGACCCGGTTGAGTCCGGACAGCACGGCCTACCTGCGGCGGCTCCAGCACTGCCAGCGAGCGAGGCACGGCGGCAAACGCCTTGTATGCCTGCTTGACATTCATGGGAAACTCGTCGGGCGAGGAGGGGGAGGGGGCGCGAGGCTGCAGCGTGGGGAGGGGGTCACGGAGGGAGGGTGGGAGAGGTCGATATGGTAAAGGAGGCGGGGGGGAGGACAGACAGACGGAGACATGGAGGAGAGGACAGACTATGAAAAAAACCAGCAACGTTGAAGAAGACTGTGGAGGAGAACAGGTGAAGAGCATGGCAGCTGGTTTCATGTGAGAGAGGAGGGAGTATGCCAAAAAAGACAGACAGTAGGGCTTGGAGAGTTCAAAGCAATGGAAGATTTCTCCCGTCAATGAGCAACTTTATAAAACAATCAGGAAGACGTGAGATGAAATCATAGGTTCATTTTTTCTGATCCACTTGAGCTACTTGCCGATAGAATGAAATGAGCGAGGCGGTTAACTTTTAGGAGTTATCCTGGGTCGAGTCTTCAGGTAGAGCTCAAATAATTACAACCTCAAGATGTGCCCGAGGCTGAACACACTCAGCTCCCCTGTGCCCTCAAACACTTCAGATTTGGTTTTAACTTCTTTGGAAGCTCATTTGTGTGCCATAATTACCTGTAACTGCTGCACTGTTTTAGTATTATTACTATCATTATTTTTTAGGCTGTGTAGTCACAGCATGTGGCACGGACGCCAACAGCAGAGAGAGAGAACAGCCCTACGTGGTGGTGAGGGGTCTTACAGAGGTCTGGGAGTTGAAGGGGGAGGGGCCATGCTGAAAGGGGTTGGGGCTGTGGCCGTCTGGTGTGGCGGGCGAGTTGCTGGGCCGAACACGCCCCACTGGCTGGATGGCACCCGGTCGCGTCTGGAAGGAAAACAAATATTGATAGTAAAATATAAGTGAACTGTTGCTTGAGTTGATGAAGTTTAATTAGAATGAATGAAAAGTGGGTGGAGTTAATGAGTGAAATACATCTGAGCATGTCTGCAGATTTTATAGAATATAATTAACATCAAGCTCCGCCTCCTCCAGAGCTACTTCAGGCATGGCATGTTTAGCACTTTAGCATGCATTACTATACTGGCTAGACTGTATGTAAGAAATATATATGTTTAGATTTTAGACTTTATTTAACTGTTCCTGGGAAATAATTCCATCACTTTAGCACCCACCTGTATAGTAACCAGTAGACTATCAAATACAAGACCATAAATAGCTTCATATATGTGGTTAAACGGACACAAACTGGACTCTACTCTTATACTGCAAAATACATCATCCTAAAACAGCTATTTCTGAGCTCTGGAGACACTCACTGATGATGAGGGGTTGTCCTTGACAGTGGGAGTGGAGGTGTAATGAATAGTTGCCTGCAACGAAAATTAAAACAAAGCCATGACAATGACACAGAAATGCATGGATCAGCAGCACAGTGAATAAAATCACTAAATGTAAACTTAAGGGGCTTTTTCAGGATGATGCCAGGCCACATAAAGACACTCTTCAGAAAACTTGAAGCTACCAGAGTTTACCTTGAGCTAATATGATCACCAAATGTGGGACAGCGGTCGTAATATGCAACGCAGATTGATAAAGCTCAAGGGGGGAACAAAAACGATCACCCAGTGAGAAAATATTAAGCCATAGCTGGTCAGTAGATCTATTTCTCCAGTCTGCATGAGGCAAACCATGAGTAATCAGCTGGCTGCGGAGAAGCAGTCACATGCTTTTCAGACCACTCAGCTAGTTATGTTTTACTGTCAGAGAGCTCAGAGCAGCGTGAGCTAAAAAAGAAATCCAGGCCAGCGCTGAAAGGGCCGCATGCCCCACTTACGAAGCGGGTCTCCCTGCCTGCACACAGGGAGCTGTTGGAGGAGTGGTGGCTGGGCTAAGGGTGGGAGGAGAGGTCAAAGTGTCAAATACCTCCTCTAAAGAGCTACAAGTGACTCATGGAAAAGGGATAAAAAAATAAAAAAAAATTTAAAAAATTGGTATGGGAGCAGGTGATAAATAATAGAAGAGCTGGGTTTAAGAGCCACTTACCGGTTGGATAGTAGGAGAGTAAGGGGCTTCCCTGATTGGGCTTTCCGTCCTGGTGAAATCAGAGGAAGGCGCCTGGAAAAACAAAAAGTAAGGACACAAATTTAACAGCCGCTCAGTTTCACTGAAAACGCAGAGCAGAAAACAAAACAAAAACAAAAAACTGTTTAGTCCAGCTGTGAATTTACGCCTCCCTAAACATGCGCTTTTCTGTGCCGTGCTCCTTCGTGACCCTCCTCCTCCTCACAGCTGTCGGCTCAGACATTCCAGTCGATCCTCATCACAGACTCACAAATACCTCACGAGGTGCCACAAGCTCTGTGCTCACAGTAAAAACATGCAACTGTTCAGCTGGTTGTTATTAAAACAGGATTAATATGAATGAATTGGCCAAAGAGCGTCCTAGAGAGAAAAAAAAATTCTTTCACATGAATCATCGAACTGAGAGTATTTATCTCAGAGTGCAGCTTTCTGTTAACACACCATGCTGCCTCCACACCACACTCAGGCGGGCGTCTCTCTTGCCTTGCTGAACAGCCAGGGCTGCAGCTGCCCCTGTCTGCCGTAGCCCACCGGAGGCCCCGACAGGATCTGCTCTCCAGGAGGAAGACCCTTTCCTCTGCGATTAGCCACCAAGAAAGGGTTCTCGCTGAAGCAAATCGACTGAGAGTCCACCAGGCACTCCTCTTCTTCAGGTGCAAGGGATGAATTAAGAGGTGTCGTGGAGCCAGTACTCTGGGGGGTGGAGGTCCCATCAGGGGAGAAATGGGATCCTTGAAGATAGCTGGGGTCTGAGTTCAGACTGGAGCTGGACTCAGGGTCCAAGTGGCTGAGGGACTTAGAGGGTTCATCTAAACCGAAGCCTAGGGGCTTTAAAGGAGCTGTGTACTGGGCCTGCACGGGGGCCTCCATAGGATCAGTCAGAGTGACAGAAAACTGCACAGCAGCAGAGGAAAGAGGGGGACAGACAGACAGTAAACCAGTGACAGGAACTCCAGAATACAGAGAAGAAAGGAAGCTGCTCTCAGTTAGATTAAATGACAAAACAAGTTGATTACCACCTCAATTCCCTCCTCACAGGTTTGGCTGTTCTCACTAAAGTTACTGCAGAGACCAAGGGGCACCAATTTCAGCAGCAGAAAACTAAATTTGTAACTCTAAAATTTTAACTGTATGTGATCTCAGGTTCACTCACTGACATCAAAATATTTTAACATTATGACCACAAAATAAATTAATAAAGATACTAAAACTCGCTTTTTAGGGTCAGCTTGAAACTAATTAAGCACAATCAATACAATATGTGGACACTGAATACGTACATTCATGTAGTATCTGATACATTCTCTAAAACGTGAGATGAGCTCGACAGAGAAGCGTCTTGGTGCTAAAAAGAGTCCCTCGCCTCACTAAATCTTTCCCGAAGCCTTTAAGATACGTTTCCCAGCGGCCATCATTCAAGACTCGCCGCAGCCCACACTCCTAGCATGTGCTTTAAATAAACATTATCAGACCAGTGAGACATTCGGGCTCCAGCACACCTTCAGCTCCTCCTGTACTTAACAGTGACGACTACTGCTCGTGTCACAGCTGAGAGAATACGCAGCTTTTAAACCAACGTTCACTCTGAAACCGAATCTCGGCCATGTTCTGTTTCACATACTTAAGACCTTAAAATCGTTAAAAATCTTCAGGTCAGTTCAGACAAACTGCAGTGGAATTTATCCCACATGGCCTTGACATGTCTGGTGATAATCGAAATAGCCACACTAAGAATACAGCGAGCATTGTGAAGCAGCAAGGCAGCTCTGTACTGTCAGAGTCGGCGCTGCGATGAGGGTCAGCGAGGTGGAATGTGAACGAGTGCCCTTTTGGCACCGACACCGACTGCGAGTGACAGCTGGGGCCCGGCTGTGACAGAGCAAAGTCAGGCTGCTCGTTCGCCGGCATGCCAACGCGCTGAGCTGTCTGGGAAGTCCAAAGCAACCTGGGAACTGAAGCGTTTAAACACTTCAGTCACGGCTTTAAGTGAATGCCATGAATCAGTAACAGAAAGCAGAGTCTGAAGTGCCAGAACAAAATTTATGGAAAATGTTTTCTGTGTAAAATTAAATGATAGTTCCATTAATCAGGATTTGGGATGTCCTTAAAAACCAAATACATATTTACCAATAAAAAGTTTTACTAACAGAAAGTATCAGATTATCTTAAATGACATCTGAATGGGTCTAAATGGTAAATGGCCTGTATTTATATAGCGCTTTACTAGTCCCTAAGGACCCCAAAGCGCTTTACATATCCAGTCATCCACCCATTCACACGCACATTCACACACTGGTGATGGCAGCTACATTGTAGCCACAGCCACCCTGGGGCGCACTGACAGAGGCGAGGCTGCCGGACACTGGCGCCACCGGGCCCTCTGACCACCACACATTTTTAGTCAGGAATTTCTGGAGTACAACACTACTAGTTTTCCCTACTCTAAAAATTTGGATCGGTTAGGGCCGTTAGGCAACATCACAAGAAATTGATGTCAAATATAAACGTCAAAATTCAACCTTTGTAAACCTGAGTAAAAATCAGGATGAACTTCTTGGAAAATTCTAGGATTTTGGTTAAACCACCCTTTTTATTTTTATATTTATTTTAGAAAGGTTTTATTATGAAGGAACAGTAGAGAGAGGATGATTTAAACACCAACAAATGGGAAATACAACCCTGTCTTCACACTCAGTTCCAATAAAACAAGGCCCTCTATACATTTATCTATTGGCAGTTTAGCAGGTTGCTCTCAGGTCTAAATCTCAACTTCTTATAAATCACATCTTGTATCACTAATATTTGAGCAGCACCTGTTCTTTTGTTTAAACATTTTTACAACAAAGCGGTGCTATGAAGCACACCCACTTGTGTTTCACCATCAAAATCAGGGCTTATGAGATGCTAACCCCTTCAATTTAAAATATTGGTCCACTATGAGTGTAACTAACCAACACGCTGTTCTTACAGTACAGTCTGAACAGGACCACGTGTGCAGAGCAGCTCTAGCACACAGAGCAGGAACAGCTGCAGACGATATGTAGGCTAAGTTCTACTCTCACAGGTTACTGAGAAAAAGCCTGTACTGCTGCTAATTTACAACTTTCACACATAGCTGCATTATTAATGCGAATTATTTAACATTTGCTGTTTAAAAATGTTTTTAAACAACCATATTACAGACAAAATTGGATTAAAATAAGAGTGACGAGAGAACAGACAGGACAGAAAGACTCAGAAAAAACAGAAAACAGAGTCGCTTTAAATCTTTAAACTTCCTCCAGTTAAACTCGTTATACTCACTGTAGGACGGTAAAAGCACAGAGCTCTATGTTCACTCAAACGTATTCCCCTTAAGACTGGGAACTCAAACTGAAACACTTGTCTTTTCCTCTTAGGCGACACCCCCCGTCCGCCAGCATCCCACCCACCCGGGAGACTCCATCCAATTCAGAACCAGATGCTGGTTTAAAATATCACAGATAGGCCAGTTGATAGTGGACAGCTGTCCCCTTTCCAGTATCTCACCAGCTCCCCCTCTCGCACTTGCAGAATACAAAGACTGACTTCGGGCTTTGCCTTCTTCCATTCCCAAAATCTTCTGCACTTTATGTAGTTTTTCTTTTAGTCTTTCGTTTGTGATTCTTCCCGGATTACTTTAGTCTTCCCGTAAGACTCTTCATTTACTTCTGCTCTTGTTGTGTGTTGTGCAGTCAAGGTTTAGTCTTCAGCAATGTTGACTTGCGGTGAAGATCATGGAGGTGTTAAGTGCTCATAGAGGTCCAGCTGACTGACGCTGGGTCTATTCTGAGCTTTTAAAGAGACTTCCTGCATGGGCCGCTCCCAAAATGCTGACTCAAGAAGACTGCTTTCTTTTTACAAACTCTGAAAAGTAAAAATCAGACAAACATGAAGTAAAACTCACCCTGCTGACCTTCTGCAGACTCGTGGTGGGCAGCGCAGCTAGCGTTTTGTAGTCGAGCTTTAGCGGTCCAGTGCCAATGCTCTGATGGGAAATAAACAGACCCAGAGGTAAGACGGTCTGCACTGAAGTTCAGTTTACAAAGAGCAGGTGGTCACATAACAAATACAAGAAATCAAGCGAAAGATCAATACTGGCACTTTCTGTACGTCTGACTGTGAGTGATTTTCCTACTCTATAGTCTTAAAAGTTTTCCAGCTGTGCACGACAATTTAAACACATGTAATTGATGTCTAATATCAAAGGAAACCTCAGGGTTGTTGCATAATCTATCATTATATGTAGACTAGACGATCAAATATGTTCAGCTGAAATAGCAGCTGTAAAAGTTTTATAAAGCTTAAATAAGCCTTCAAATCTGTGGATTGGGTTATTGTTTGATCAGTACGTGAAATAGCTCCACAAATAATGTTAACAGCTATAATATCCTTCTGTGGAAAAAGGTAGCAACCCTCAGACTAGCATCAGCCTTTTAGAGCTGAAACAGCTTCTTATAGGAGTTTTATTTCCATTAAAGTTGCTTTTTTTTATAGCAATACTTTTTTTTTTCCTTTCATAACACTACATCTCTTCTTTCTGAGACATTTCTTGTTGGATTTCCAGTGTGATTAAAGTCATTTACCTTACCTAGAGTTCAATTTAATGAGTGGGCAACGGCTGCTCAGTCCCTCATACCAAAAAGTGCTTCACAGTCAGTATTTGACCTCACTCACAGTAGATTTTCCTTAAAGTGAAACGCTTTAGTTTAAATGTTTAGAGATCTTTTTTTAAAGCGCTTTTTTAAAGATGCTGAAGAGCAAAGAGAAATCCAGAACTCAGATGAGGTTTAATAAGCCTAATTCCAGGGTTTTTAAATCACCTGCACTGATCTGGAACTCCTGACTCTAAATGTATAAATGTGAACGTTTCATAAATCTAAGGGTGGTTTTTCCATGAGATTGAGTTGTTTTTAAGGATTTACATTTTTTTTAAATTGAAACTAAAAGTCAAAAAGAAGACTGGGAATTTCCTCTTTTTTCCTTTAGGAGCTGCTTCAATTATGATTTAAGTGTTTGTACCCTTTGTTTGGTTACATTTGCAGGTGGACACTTATCAGGGCACCTCCAGCACAACTATTCCAATTTAAATTGGGTCCCTTAAAAAAAGAAAATGTATAAAAGTTTAAGACACATTTATTTAGCATTTGTGTCTAAACTGCAGACAGGAAGTTCACCCGAGGACCTGCCGATGAGGAGTATCTCACCTCAGTCTCCTCTTCTAGCAGGCGAGTTGCCTCCTCACGCTCCAAGCGCATTCGCTCCTTCACCAAGAGAGGAAGGGGAGGAAGAGGAGAAGTACAGAGGGGAAGACACACAGTCACACACAGCCACACAGTAATGCGATGAGGGTTGAAATAAAGAGGAAGACGAGGAAAGTAGTGTTAGAGAGAAGAGAAACAACAGTGAGGAAAGTGGTATGGAGATGGAATGATTGGATGATTTTGGATCACACATAACGCACCAAAGGTAGAGGATAGGTGAAAAAAAGAAACAGAAGGGAAAGAAAGGATAGAACCCACACACATTAAAAAGTATTCTATTCATCAGCTATAGGAGCAGAAAAAGCATGCAAGGTGGGACATTGCAGGAACAGTTCTGTCAAACATGATGCCCACACAGGGTGCAGAGGGGAAGCTTCATTCACCCGGTAACAGGCAAACGTGAGGATGTGACTAACTCCACCCTGCAGACCCAGTATAATTTCTTTTCAGCTATACTGCCACAGAAAAACTGAGTTTTCTTGCATTGATTCATCTTCATCAATCTGCTCTCTACCTTTCCCAAAACAAATGATTTTCAATTTCACTTACCACTTTCTCCATCTCTTCTCGCTCCCACTGTGATGTCTCTCTCACCATCTCAGACTCCTGACGAAGACCAACATTTAACCTTACAATGCTAAAAGCTACTGTTCATCATGTAAAGCTCAGCAGAGGCAATTCAGTTTCTGTAAATAAGCCCTGGCAAACGTGGTTACGGCTAAACGTGTGCAGAGAAACAGCAGAAACATGGCATTCAATAAACCAGCAGACCCTGCATTCCTTTAGAACGGGCAGCCTCCCAAAAACTAATCTGGACAAAATAAACAACTGGGCTGGCGCATTCTGGCCGCTCCGATAGAAAGATGGGTACGTGCGGCGTGCATGCCCAGAATGAGTAAATCTGTACAACTCCACTTGCTAACACCAAACTGCTGTGGAAGCACTGTGCTGGTGTGGCAGAATTGCTGAATAAAACATCCGATTCACAGGTTGCGCTGAATGGCAGCGGCTTTGGTTAGTACACCAGCTTTGCACTGCACTTATGTGGATCTGCTGGATCTTTAAGGAGCCTCAAAAGTGCATTCTGCATGTTAAAATCAACACCATCAGTACCTGACCTTAAGTACATCAGTGATAGCAATATAATGAAAAAATGAAGCTCATGCACAAGTGAAAAAATCTGCAGCTTCTCAAGAAGCAAAGTGAACTTCAAATCATAGACCATATATTAAAGAATGAAGCCACTGTGTTGCCACCAGATGGTTAGTGAATCCTGCTGTGAAGCCGCAGGCTGAACATCTTAATGTTTGGAAGCTGGAGTTAAAGAGTGAGTCGAAACTGAGGGACACTGCATGGTTATAACGTAGCAATGCATCTGAAGCATGTCCTGCTTCATTATCCTAATTTATGATTCTATTGGAAGCATAATTTGGTAGGTGCGCATTATGCGCCATTGCCTGTTTATTCATCACGGAGTATTTGGAGACAAGTGTGTGTCTTCTATGCAAACTAGAGGCAACCACACCAATCTGGTAGTGACTAAAACGATAACAAGGTTAAAGGTTTTGTTCAATGCCCTCTTTGAAATCGATTTCACATGGCATAAGCCAGTAACCTCGCTCAGATCTACCAACTCTAGATCTGAGCGACTGTGGTCTCGGCAGATAATACTCTGCCCTCTCATCCATATAAGTTCACTTTTAGATTCACCAGCTAAACTGCTAAACTTTGAGCGTAAGGAGTGCAAAAATCAATGTTTTAGTGGCCATCTTTTATATATAGTTTATGTATAGAAGTTAAAATGTGCACTTGTAGTAAAAACACACCTTCTGTATTATTTCCATCTCCTCTGGGCTCAGGTCTCGGTCTATAGAAGAGATGCTCTCCATACTGTTCTTTCGCACAATACCGGTTGCAAATGGGTTGGCAATGATACCCGGAGATGCCTGAAAACCAACACAGAGTACAGTTTAAACCTTTGAAAATGGAGATGTTTTTAACTGAAAGCTATAGTTGTACTTAAAAACTCAAGCCAGGTACATGATAAAAAAGGGATATATATTAGCTGATATAAAGACAGAACGATCAGAGGTTTGGTAAGTTCCTGCTGTACATAATAAACTGTACATATCCAAATCTGACTGTTCATGTCATCTCACCTCCACTGCAGCCACTTTGCCAGGGTCAAAGCCATCACAAACCAGCATGACCAGAGAGTCCCCGACAGCACGGAGCACTCGCACCGCCTCCGTGTGCGTCATCCCCAGCAGGCTGTGGTTGTTCACCTCGAGAATTCGCATGCCAACCTGCAGTCGCCCGTCCCTTGCCGCTGCGCCGGTCGAACTCACCTGCAGAAAACAGTCAAAAATGTGAGCATGTTCACATTTCTCATGTTGATAATAACCTCAATTAAAGCTGAGTCGTGCCAAGATGTGTTGCTTTGGATTGCTAAAGAACCTTTGAGATGAAGATGCCCTCATCTGTGGGGTCGAAAGGATTTCCAGCATGACCCTTGGCCCCTCCGCGAATGCTGATACCAAGTTTCTCTCCAGGCTGCTTCTGGATCATGATTTCCTGCATTCCCGGCGGTGAAGGGTCCCGCCGTACCAACATACGGATCTCCTGCTTGTTGGCCAGCAAGGCCCGCACAGCTTCCTGGTGTGTGGCATGTCGCAGGTCAATGCTGTTCACCTCTAATATCCGGTCGCCAACACGGAGCCCACATTGACTTGCCAACCCATGAGGAATCACCTGAAGAAATGAGGTGAAGTCACGGAGTCATGCAACATATTCAGCAGATGAAAGTGTAAGAATACACCTGTTTTACAGTAATACCTTTGAGATGAACACCCCAGGTTCATTGATACCAAAAGGGTGGCTGGCATGGTCGCTGCCTCCTACAATACTCAGGCCTAGAGGGCCTCCAGACTTCACCAGGGTAACTTCCTGTTAGGATTAGGTTAGATTGGCTTTAGCAGAAGATTTGAAAAATAATTTAAAGCCTGAATGTAAAGACGACGACTCAAACATCACAAGTCAAATCTACATCTGTTATAGTCTAATAAATATCAAAAACAACTTTCTATTTAACAACACCATTAGTGCTTTATTGACAGCTACTAACTACTCAAGCCTTCATACCATACACCATCTTCTCTGGAACTGGACAGCAATAAGGATAAGGCGGGGCCACATAAACAAGCATTAACACTGAGTGCTTCAATGACGTTTCTACAGCAATGGCTACTAAAACGACTAAACAAAAACCAAAACTATTCGACACACAAGTCAGTCCTCGAATTCTCACCTCGATGGGATACTCGTCCTCCATCTGGCTCAGATGGTTCCCGAGGCCTTCCTCGTCCTGGTCTGGAGAATCTGATGGTTCTGGGGGTGGAGGGGAGTGGGCTCGTGCCCGGGTCTGACCTGGAGAGCCCCCTGGTGCATTCAAGTCACGCTCCACCAGGAGGGCGATGGTGGGGGAGGTGCCGGTAAGGAGCGCTACTGCCTGGTCATGCCTGGCCTCTGTCATGTCTACACCATTGATCTGGATTCACAGTAAAACCAACCGCGGAGGGTGTCAGCCCACCAGGACGCTCCCACTGGTCATTTGCTACTCATAGGATGAATATTTGACAACAAACCCAGCCTGCCAACAGTCGTTTCTCACCGCTCCCTCCATTCATTACCCAAAATGAAAACTGAATGTTTAAGTTCTAAACCGATCTGATTTTTAATTCTGAGATTTTTCAAGTGCACCAAAGCGAGTTATTTAAAGAAGAACCAAACACCTACACAAAGCAGCAGGATCTTATACGGAAAGTGAGGGGTGCTGCAGGCAATTTAGGATGGCAGAGCGTCTCTGAGGGAGAAAAGCTGCAAGCAAGCAGAACTATTTTTCATCAAACTGCCTGAAGTGAGCTCATGAATGCCCATGCTGCTATCTTTTCATGTAATCAGTTCAGCACTTCTTGCCTTTGTTTACTTAAAACTTCAGTGGAAGTGTGTAGCTTCTCCAAAATTGATCTTAAGTCCACAAAGGCAACAAGAAGTCATCAGACACCACAGATTAACCATTTCATTACTGTTTATGTGTGTTTTAGGATCAAATAAATAGGGGTAGCTTTTAGGCATGCAGTCTAGTCCAAAGTGACAAGCAGAGGTCGGCACAGACCCGACAGTACCAGCTCTTACCACGGGCTGACACACTGCAGCTCCTGCTGTTGTGGTAACTCGTTCCACAAAATCAGCAGAGCAACAGGCTCAGCCCACTCCACCCCCAACACCATACCCACCACCAAGCAGGCAAGGAGATGTACTCAATGCATTAGTGAGCATGCACAACAGGAGAGCGTGAGAGAGGAAAATAGAACCAAAGAGAAGCCAATGAAAGAAAAGAGGAAACCCAGATAGAAGGCAAAGAGGACCATTCAGGAAGCTTTTCTGTGATTACAGAGAGCAGGAAGTGCAGTAAAGAAACAGATCTGATGATCATCAGTTCATTTACAGTAAATAACAAAGTGTGCAAATGTGCATGTGACCAGACAAAAACATGCGACAGAAGAGTTGCTAATACGCAGAAAGATACGGGAGCACAAAGCAAAGCTTGGAGTGGGATGAAAAGAAAGATCATGCAAAGGCTAAATGTTTTAATATTTAACTAAAGCAAATAAAAAATCTTCATCGAATCCAAATAGAGAATGACTTTCATATGCGGACCGTATCACTAACTCATGGACGTGATGTGTGAGATTTTGATGAGATAACCTTAATTCATATGCTCAGGATGGAAACACCATGTCAGTCACACAAAGCCTAAAACTGACTTATGAAAGCAGTGATGCTGGCACAAATGACACAGTTTCACAATAAAAATGGAACAAAATGCAACAAAAATGTCATAAAGTAAATGCCGCATTTACCAGATGTAGGAAAAATGTTGTATCGCTGTTATTCTCACGACACAAAAACGATACCTAATTGTTTGGGATTCATGTCTAAACGTATTCCTGTTTGTAAAGAAAGCCCTGCTTTGATCACAGTCAACACTACAGTGTCCAGATGGAGAAGGATGGTAGTACTCACAGAGATCACCCTGTCGCCCACACGCAGCGTGCTGTCTTTGTGTGCCGCTCCGCCCTCTGCGATTCGAGAGATGTAGATTCCCTAAAACAAAACAAGACAAGGACGACTACTGATTTAAAACATTTCTGCACATTTGTAGATAACTAATTTTTTCCTCAAACATTCTCATATACTGCAACTAACAACGGCATCATTCTGAACGATGGCTACAACAAACCACAGACCTATATGTAAGCGCTCGCACTGAAAGAAAAACTGAATTTGTTTTCATGACTGCTGCAAAATTGACATAGTTCGACACATTAGCAGCCCACACTGCCAGACAACACACAAACAACCTCTACATATAACTGATTAACAGGTCAGCGCCAAATAGTTAAAACGCATTAAAAGCCTCGACTGCCAGCAGCTCGTTACAAAGTACGAGCGCTGAAACGCTGTCCCCTTTGCTCAGACACATTACACCGTTTGTACACCAATAAAAACCCAGCCTAGCTGCTAGCCTGTCCCACATGAACAGAATGTGTAAACAAATGCATGTGCAAAGTCTAGTGCACCAATTCACATCCACCAGGTGAGTCACTGCATCCACTTCAAAAGGCTTTTTGAAAGGGAGGAAAGACTTACAGTCAGACCCGCTTAAACCTTATGTTTATGACTCCTTCCCTCTTTGTGGGCTCCTGGAGCTGCTCGAGCTGCAGAGCAGCAGTGTGCTGGCCCAAATATACATATCCAAATTACAGCAGGCCTATCGAGTGTCAAGGCTGGCTATTCATATCGGCGTCTCCCAGGAGATGACTGTAAGCGCTGTGGCCAGAATAGACGGCGTTAAAAGACAGATTCGCTCTGACTGAGACTGTTACTGCAAACATGTGACTTCACTTCCTAATTTTCAAACCACACTTTTTGAAAACCCTTTTACTGATAGTATGAGGCACTGTCTGCAGTTTTGGATGTTTTTTTAAAATGTCTTTTTCCTCTATTCCCTTCTTCATTCCCCAGATTTGGACGTTGACAGAAGGTTGCATACATCACACGAGTAAAATAAAACAGCCATCACATCTCAATCTGAGGAACTAAACAACTCCCTCAAAGAACTGAGTCAGTTCAATGAAGTATTGTGTTAAATCATCTAAAGATGAATGACAGGAATACTTCTGTAATGCCATTTAACTGATTCAAACAGAGGACGCTCTGCTTGGATGTTTACACAAACTTGCGTAATGAACTACAACATGATACAGATCTCAGATAAACTGTCCCTTGTGCTGCTTATTTTAACATCAGACATGACACTGTGATCTGATAGTCTCCTATCAGGCTAAATAAAACTCAGTTAAATATAAATTACTCTTACTTTTAAGGTTTACTTAACTATAATTTCGGTGGGCAGGTCAACTATGAGGGAGGTGTTTGATATGGGAGCAAAAGATGCTGCTGGGTGGAAAATGATGGGATGGTAAATACATAAGAGGGTCACCTTGGCAACAAGAGGCCTGGACTCTTAAGTAGTGCCCAAGTTTCAGCTACAGAAGCAAAGCAAATCAATCGCTTCACATGCAGACAGGGCTTACCAGGTGTTGGGAACAATCCACAACCATTATTCTAAGTATGGATTAATCTATCAGTTATGTTCTCAATAATTTAGCTGGCATTCATGCATATCAACAGAGAAATACACGGCAAACACACTTGAAACAGCTAAATCATTTACCCGCTCAGAACTGGTTGTAGTATGACAACAAAGAGTGCACCATAGACGGACAGATGCCTTTTCCACGTACAGCAGTTGATCAATAAATAGTTGTAAGCAGACGGCAACATGATGGTCAATCCACAAAGACAGATTAACGTAACCGCAGCCTGTTTTTCTACATATCAACATTTTTATTCCATTTGCGAATAAATTCTGCCTCATCTGTCACGTAATGAATTTAATATCTGTACTGTCACAACCGTCACCTCTCTGCCTCTGATGTCAGCACTATGAACTTTATGATGTGTATCTGACAGCTCAATATAAGAAGTGATCTTCAGAGGATGAGAAAAAGGTGGCTAGGCTTTCCCTTAGTGATAGGGTGAGGAGTTCAGTCGTTTGGGAGGGGCTCAGAGTCGAGCCGCGGCTCCTCCACATCGAAAGGAGCCAGCTGAGGCTCTTTTATTTCTTTTCTTTTCTTTCCTCACCGTGTCCCCTGTGCGGTACGCCGTGGAGCCTTTCCCCCCTGCAATGCTGAATCCCAGCCCCTTGTCATTACGGATGAGGCAGGTGGAGAACCGCTGCCTCGGCCCGCTTGGACTGTTCTCCAAGTTAAAGGCAAGGCCGCTGCTCCGCCTCTCCCGTGGGAAGTAGTCATCCTCGGGCCTAAGCGGTGTGGTGGTGATGGCGTTCTCTGGTTCCACCATGCGCTCCCGCAGCACTGTCATGGAAACTGTAGCACCGGAGCTGCGGAGAGCTTCCACTGCTGTGTGATGCTCAGCTTCGTGGAGGTCCACTCCATTTACCTGAGACAAGGAGATTGTTTGTTTTCTGTTTAACAAAACAAACAAAACACTCCTCTAGTCACCCTCCCTGTCACACACAGACATGCAGATGTTTACCTCCAGCAGTTTGTCTCCCACTTTAACTCCAGCTCTGGCTGCAGGACCCTCTTCAGACACTCTGGAGATGAAGATTCCCTAAAAGCAACCAAACATTAACACAGTCAGTCTTTGACCTCAAATACTTCCAAACCTAAACAAACCCAGGTACCCAGCCCTACCTCGTCATCTCCTTTGTAAGGCGTGGATCCTTTTCCACCAGCAATGCTGATGCCCAGGCCGCCTGTTTGTCGCACGATGGTGAGGGTGTGCTGCAAGTTGAGGACGGGGGAGTCAACAATACTGGGAGTGAAAACCCATAAAAAGCCTACTCATCTTAGGGCAGATTAAGAGGAAAACGAGCCCACGGCGATTTACTTTGTTTTGTTTGGGTTTATACAGGGTGTATCAAAAAGAATTATCTGATTTTGAAAGGCTACATTTTTTAAGTAATGGACAGAGAAAGAACCATGTGGTAAATTTTTAAAATGCATGAATATAAAGTTTTATGCAAAGCTTGCAGTGTCAAGTGCTCAATGTGCCTCCCTCCGGACGCATGGTAAATGTCCATGACATAGCCAAACTCCTTCCATACTTTAGTGAGCATGTCTGGAGTCAGTGCTGTTGTTATGCTACCTACCGGCAACCACATGAAACTCACGAATATGCTCTTACTCACGGTACGTGTTTCGATAGTTGATTGGTGAACAGCTGCAGGTTTAAAGCACTTTAAAATTGGATGATTCTTTTTGATGAACCCTGTATTTTAAGTCGTGGGTAACCTCTTTCAGCAAGAAGGTGGCGTCAATCAGTGCTGCACCCTTTGTTTTTGCTGATGGATAAACGCTGACTTCAGTGTCAGTTTATGGGCCTATGCCAGTTTAAATGGGAGGCAGATGGCTTTGTGTTTGCCTGAATTTGATTTAAAGCACGAACAAAAAGTTTTACCCAAATCATTAACCAATTAACCAATGAACTGACATGGGACATGAATTCTAACACACTATGTAAAAATGCTTCGCCTGGACTCAGTGAGACCAACATTTTTCCCAAAACAAAGTGTATTATGTATGAATTGGAGTGTAGACTTGTGTACATTATACATACTTGCAGGCCATGCAAAAAGGGGATGAATGGAGACAAAGGAGGTACAGATGGAAGGAAGTAACAGACAACAGTTTTAAGTGCCCTAAAGGTGGAGTCCTTGCTTTGAGACTCTAGTGTTGCTCAGTGTGACAAGAGCGAAAACAAATGTTTCTTGCAAATTTTCATCACCCACACTAAACATACTAAATGTACCGATATACAGTGAATCATGCAAAAAATAAAATGTAGATGGAGGGAATAAACAAAAACAAAAGCAAATCTGAAACAAGCTCTTTCTTGCACTTGAAATAACAGCCATGTGTTACAGATTTACACAATCAAAAATCGACTTTGTCATCCATCCACCGGTTATCCTGTTTGGAAGCTGGATTAAAACCTGGAGGAAGTTGGGAAAGTGGGTTTGCCTCATCAGAGTGTAACCAGCCCATTCATTCCAGGGTGACAAGGCACTGGACGGGATGAAAAAGGAGCAAAGCAGCAGAAGCAGAGGAGAGGCAGGGGAGAGGCAGAGTGTGCCAGAACCTGGACTGACTGAATATCTGCAAACTTCAATCTTTATGGCACTAACCCTTTTATAGAAGGAAAAGAAAAAGATCTGGTTCAGCCTGAAGAGGAGAATTCAACTACTTAAATTCAATAACTGGAAAGGCCAGAGTTTCCTTCAAAATAGCAATATGTGCAAGCTGTGCAAAACTGCTGTAAATGCACTGAAATTAACCTACATGTTTAACCTATATGCAAAAACATCAGATATGGTTGATCAATCTGCAGCACGTGCAATGATAAGAATACCGACTCCTCGCTGAGAACCTGCTCTCCGTGTTTTCCTCACACTGTTTATTTAACAGAGGAACTGGTGGTATATATTTTTTCCTCTTTGGTGTGTATGTTCAAATACTGAGGGGGCGGGGTTAATTAATCACCAGTTAATGATGACTACCTTGTTTTGAGGTGGAAGTAACAATCTTACTATGATTACAAAGAAAAAAAAACTTAATTTATTCACTGAGTTCAGGCAATTTATTAAACAAATGCTGTTTTTCAGGTATGACCTGTGATTGGTTTATTATAAAACCCAGAAGGGAAGGATCAATGGAAAACCACAAATGTTGTGTTTAATAAAAGGCCAAAAATTAAATTAAAAGTTAAATGTTATCAAGCGCCTGGCCCTCTGCTTTAGACTCCAAAAAGCACAAAATGCTGAGAATGAAACTCTCACTACACGTTTACTATCACAGGGTTAAAGTGTCCACACTCCAGCTGTCCAGTAAGAAGAAGGAAGAAATAAATAGTGTCAGTTTCAGTCCTGTATTCAGGTTCTGCCACACTGGCCCCTCCTGTGAATGAGCTGGGATTAGAGGGGTTCCCTAGTGATCGGCTCGGATTAACCGTGGATTTCTGTGGGAAGTTTTCTCCATTTCTGAGTATGGGTGGACAAATGAATGGGTGAGTGAGGGACGGAAAGACAAGAGTGGATGGGAAAGAGTAGGTACAGACCTCTTCCTCCTCAATTCGAGCAGGTTCAATCAGCAGATTATTGACTTGATCAAATGACACCCCCTGTTAGGACAGGAACCAGCAAGAGGCATGCGGATTAGTCAGGCCAAAATAAAAATATGCACACAGACAGACACACCCAAAAACAACAAAACAGAACAAAAAAAAAATATAAAAACCTCCAGACACACCAGACACTCAACACGCCACTGTCTGCTTGCAGGTTGTGAAGCAGAAGTGAATCCACACTCACTCCCCAGCCACCAAAAGCAAAATACAGGCAGAGGTGGAAAGACAAGACCAAGGAGCTGAGCCAGAATGCAAAAAAATACAGTGCAGAGAGAGTGGACAAAAGAAGGCAAAAGCTCCCAAACCACAACAAGCCCAGCCTCCACACCATCAAGAGCAATTTCCTCCAGGAGCAAGACTTAAATTTAGGTGAAGAAGTCAGTTTCAAGCTAAAAAAATATAAACATAGCTAAACGATTCACAGAAAGTACAAAAGAAATGATACAGAAACTGATTTACTAGAAGAACAAAGTCCCTACAAAAATCCAGTGAAAGAAAATACGACCATGTGACGCAAGCCAGGCTCATTCGATGTTGTGTTCCAGCTCTGCCAGTACATGTTCTGGTTGGTCCGAGTTCAGTCACCCACACGCACGCACACATCCATACCCACACACCAAACAGATTCATGATGATGTTTGATCATTAGGTTAAAAAGGATTTCTACAATTAGCGTGACACAAATTAACAGATCTCAATTTAATAAGTCTAATGATCAACAAGGACATTCATTGATAAGCAGCTCCCGAGCATCCTTCACTCGTTTCATTCATACTTTACAAGCATACAATGTTACAAAAGCAGTGTGCAAGTGTCAATATTCAATTAAATCAGCAGGTAACTGATGATAAGGCGCGCCAGTGTTGAGCAAGAAAGGCTGAATTTATCCACAAAGAAAAAAAAAAAGGTTTAGACAAAGATCTGAATGCAGTCTTGTATGGAAACAAGGGATCACAATGGCCTGTGGCTGATTTATGCCGACATGTCTGCATGCTTTCTGTGGGGGAACAGGCTAGGAGAGGCAAAATCTGAGGGGGCCAGATGAGGCTGTTGGTGAGTTTGCGATGAATGTAATGCATCACCCTGGATTTATAGCACAAGGCCAGGGCGGCTTCATCTCAGGAATGACCCTGCATGCAACGCCACATCCATCTTAAGTGAATGCAGCTTGCAAGGTGGCAAAGGCTCTCCATGCATACAATATCAAATGTTTGCAAAAGAGGCAACAAACAAGGAAAAATATATATGTAAAGTTTTAAATCCTAAAATATGCTGACTTGGTGTGTACTGCATGTCCTGCTGTGATGATATATAACACTTTCTACATTCCTGAACTGCACCCTGCCAGTGTTTGGATCTCTCTTTTACCTTTACTTGGCTGGAGTTGACCTGATGCCGGCTGTCCTCTGCCTCCTCCACTCTGTGGCGGTGCTGAGGAGTGCCATCACTCTGCTCTTCGTCCTCATCCTCCTCGTCCTCGGCAGCCTGAGCAGAAGAGTTGAGGGCGTCGGGACTGAAGCCCTGCAGCAGAGCGGCCACAGCCTCGGGTTTGGGCAGCTTGGTGATTTTGAAGTGCTTCTTGTAGTGTGGCGTGTCCTTTCGTATCAGACGCTTCTCCATGGGCCTCTTGTCTTCCTCGTCACTCCTCTCGCCGTCCTCGCCGTCCTCTTCGTGGTCCTCGTCCCCACCTCGGATGATGGGTTCTTCTGCAAAGTGCACAGTGGGCTGGAGAAAAGAAAGGGAGAGGATTTTAGAGTCTAACAGAAACAAAGACTGAATCCATGAAATGAGGAGAAAACCTGTCCACCATTTACCTCAATGTACTCCACCTCCATCTCATCAAGGTCATCCTCATCCTGAGGGGAAGGGCCGTCCACACGGTTCTCAATGTGAGAGGCCTCAGTCACATTTTGTCTGTCCTCGTGGGAGGTGGCCGACAGCGTGCTGTTAGACACCTGTGAGTCATGGCTCTGATTGGAGAGGTCACTGAGCCTTTTTCCCTAAAAACAATGACATCATTTTTATTATATCAGCATGTACCACAGCAGCAGCTAGTCAGGCAGTATTAGAGCAAATTTTGAGTTTAGTTGTTTGTAATTCTGGAGCTGAGCAGCAAGAAATGAAATGCTATTTGCTTATTTATTTTTTTAATTTGGTGGTGACCATATTTCTGACGTTATGTACCTGTGGGTCCAGGGACTGATCCTCGTCCTGTCTGGATGTGTAGGCTTCATTCCTCCTCTCTTCAATCCCTTTCTTCATCTCCTTCAGCTCACTGGGATGTGGTGTGGCTCTGCGCTGAAGGCCCTGAAGAAGGAAAAAAAAGCCATTTTATCTGATTTTCCTTTAAGCACGACATTATTCTTTTTTTTTTTAGCTTTTGTGCTGATGGGTCAGGTTTGCTTTATTTAGTTTTTACTCACTCTACGCTCTGCAGCAGCCTCATCACCCTCATCCACCTCAGCCTTGGTCTCCTCCTGGAACTGGATGACCGACACTCTGTTCAGGTTGCTGTCTGTCCAGCTACCATCTACACTGTTCTGCAGCAGGTTCTCTGCAGATAAAGAGAGAGGGCAGAAGAAAGAGTGTGCCAGTTAAAATAAATATCATCTATACATGCTTCTAACAGGTCTGAATACTCAAATGCTTATTTAAAGCATGTTGCTTACCTAGGCTTGGGGAAGGCTGCTGGGGTAGCAAATAGCAGGTTAACACTTTCTCTCCTGTTCGCTCATCGTCCTCTGTCTGGAACTTGAGCATTGGCTGAGACTGGTTCTCTGCGAGCCACATGGCCTTCAGGTTGAGGTTTGTCAGGGCGAAAGGCAAGTTTTGTAATCTGGATAAACGTAAGGTCAGGACAGATAGATTAAAATTTCTAAGATTTTTAACGTGGATCTATTATTTATTTCCTTCTTTCCTGTCAGTACACTCAGAACAGCACATCAGCTGGGCTGGCGTCTTTGTGAGACAAATCTGAATTTCTTTCAACATGCCTGTCAGAGCCAATGAGACTGCAGCAGGCATGGGAGACACTTGCACTTTTCCTCACACACTGTGGTCTACAGGACCACTGTCATGGTTAAATGGCACTTTCCTACTCCTCTTAAGCACACAACATGCCTCATTCACCTACTCGCATGCATTCAGAAAGCAACTTGCTCGAGGATACTTTGGGATGCAGACTTGAACAGCCAGGGATCAAACCACCAACCTTCTGATTAGTAAATTACCTCCTGGTGACCGGTTGTTCACACCCCACCCCAGTTTGACAACCCTTGCTGTAAGGCCACTCTCTCGTTAAAACAGTGAAATGAGGGGGCAGCACGCACCAGTACAAGACTAGCTGGGATTATTTTGACTTGCAAAGAGACTGTAGGAGAATGTAAGAATAAAAGTCTCTGAAATAACACTTTGACAGCGATAATTATGCTTCAGATCATTCTAGTAACAAACAATTTGCACAAAGTCATACCTGTGATGAAATTACGAACTACAAGGGCAACGTCTTTGTTTTATCTATTTTGGCAGACATTCTCTTCAGGTCTTCAACCTTTGCTGTGAAAGCTGCTGTGCATTATTAACGGTCTACGGTGTTAAGTAAGGGTACCTGTTTCCAGCCACATCCAGCACATGCAGCTCCGTGGCATCTGCAAGCTCAGCGGGCAGTTTGCCCAGGCGATTGTCTCTCAGTGAGAGGACGTTGAGGCTGGCACAGCCGCCCAGCTCTTTGGGCACGTTGCCCAGCCGGTTGCGGTCTACATTCAGGTTGGTCAGCTTCTTCAGCTTGCCCAGCGAGCGAGGAAGCGACTTTGAAAGCGAAAGGGAGGGAGACGAAAGCCATTAATGGAATCAGTGATTCAACATAATTATTGTTAATGGGACTTAGTTATTAATGGGTGTGCATGAACCCCTAATAGGTCAAATGCAGGGCTGCAGGAAGCAGTTTATACTGTGCGTCCCTACCTGTAGCAGGTTCTCCGTCAGGACAAGTTCTGTGAGGTTTTCACACTCGCCTATTGAATCAGTCAGATGGGTCAGTCTGTTCTGGTCCACCTTCAGGATGGACAGCTGTTTCAGAGACCCTGCAGACAAATCACGGTAACATTTAGCAATACACAACATCGTACACGTCACTACTGGGCTGCACTATTTTTCATTCAGATCACATACGTGTTTCTTAATATATCTGTGTGTGGATGTGTGTGATTTTGAGCAAGAGTTTTATGCAGAAAAGCGTAAATGAAAAACAAAGACAGAGGCTGCAGTGGGCAGTTCTCACGATTTTTAAAATCTGTTTTACTTCACTACTAAGAAATTATTTGTATTCTTTCCACAGCAAGGGCAAAGAAGAAGGAGCAGCAGAAGCACAGACTTAGCCCACATTACAGCTTATTTATGATGCACCATCTAAGCTGCAATATGTAGACGTGAGTTTGCAAGACTCACGGACAACATACTGTAAAATATGTTAATCTAATCAGTCCTTGCAATTAAGCACATTTCTGTGCTTCATTGGCATTATTTTTCCAGTAGGGGGCAGTGCTGTTCTTGTTTAAGATCACACTAGAGCCATATCCCAGTGTATACTTAATATGGCTTCATGATTAGGTGCAAAAACTTTCACTGACAAGATAACACACAGTTTACAGGAAGAACATTATTGAATTATTATTGAATTACTGAGTTAGTTACAAAACAAAGGTAATAAACACCAACACCTTCACCAACACCACAGAATAATGTTGGTGTTTATTACCAATCTGTGTGTTATTACACACAGATTGGTAATAAACACCAACACAGAAAACAAACCTGTCCCTTCCCCTGGTGTTTCTCACCTATGCTGTCCGGGACGACCTCCAGCAGGTTCTGTGTGAGCAGCAGGTCTGTGAGAGCCAGGAGGCCATTAAGCTCTGACGGGAGCTCCTCCAGACGATTCTCCGACACATCCAGACACACCAACCTACGAAGGTTTCCCAGCTCCTACACACACACACACAAACACATAAATTACCACTTACAGTGAGCTATAGAGACACAATACAATCCAGCAAACACAAAAAGAAGAAAACTGCTAGTGGGAGTAAATTCTGCATGAAAGCAACAGTTTGGAACTTCATGAAAATCAGGACATTTAAACAAACAAACAAAAAAACGAAAAAGCTGTACTTACTGGTGGTAATGAGGACAATTGGTTACGGTCCAGCCACAGCTCCCTTAGGTTGGGGAGAGCGCCGAGGGTATCCGGCTAAAGGAAAGTAGGGGAGAAAAGAGAGTGAGTGGCCATATTTTTATGTAAAATCAAATTTGTGTTAAAACTGCACGTTGTGCAGATCGTGCTTCATTTGGAATCTGTTAGAGGGGCTGAGAATTTGGAAAAGACAAATCATGTGACATCTGTGGATGACTGTTACAGAAAGATCTGATGTCAGCCTCAGTTATACCACAGACCGCTTCAGATGCTTGAAGCTGAAATCAGCGCTGACTAGCACGACTCCCACCAGATTCCGACTTTCAGTTTGACTTTTCTGACACATCAGTACCAGGTGTGCTTTCTTACCATCTCTCTTCTCTGGCAGCTGACACACACACACACACACACACACACACACACCCTCGCCTCACCAACAGTGCCGTCTTCTTCTTGTCACTCAACACTTTTGTTTTATTTGGTCATTTTGCACTTCACTTGAGTCCCGGCCATCTGGCTGGTTGTCAAAAAAGTTCACTAGCTCAAGAAGTTCTGTTGTCCCGTGTTGTCCACGTCACATGGGCAATCGTATAAAAAACATTCCCATAAACCTCCCTCTCGCCACGCACCTCCTCCAGTTCTCCCTGGGGAATGGTGAGGTGTTCCCAAGACAGCTAAGAAGCATAATCTGGTCTCCTCCAAGTCAGATGTACCCAAAAGTGCCTTATCAACTTCCAGAAGACATCCCAGTCAGATGTTTGTAACACCTCAACTGGCTTCTTTGGATACAGAAGAGTAAAGGCTCTACTCCGAGTCTCTCCTAAAGACTTATCCCTAAGGGTAAGTAAGCCCAGAAACCCTTCAGAGGAATCCACCCACAGCCCTTGGATATAGTTGAGGGTATTTAACCGGTAGGCTCAATTAGCTAAAGTACTGCTTCAGCTTTGCCTTTACTTCTGTTTTCACCAGCTACACCAGTAAAATTACTTCAAATCTCCAACTCTACACTTTTCCCGAGTTGGAAAAATATACCTTTGATACTTCAGGCAACAATCCCCACAAACCTGTAGAGGACAATTCAAACTTTGAAACAGAAGCTAAATAAAAATTAAAGGTGACCCTATTATGCTGTTCCTTGGTTTATATCAAGTATGTAATTTTACAATGGTAATAATGAGGTCAGTAAATGTACAAGTAAACCTCAGATCTCATAGATGCACAGGGGCTGCACAAAATCCAACATAAGATAAATACGGATTGAACCATTCAAGTATGACAGGTGAGTACAAGAATCAGCACAAAAGCTCTCCTTTAAATATGCATATGATCTTTCCCGTGTATTAGTGTACTGAAACAGAAACTTCAGGACCTTCAGAGACTTCTAGTCTGACACTGATTTCTTAATCTAATGTTGGTAAATCAGATTCTGATTTTAGGAAAAAAAGTCAACTGAAGGATCTTGAAATGAGCTCAAATTTAAAATATGAAATAATTAATTAGCATGTAAGCTGGCTGAGCGATGGTCTATGACAGGCATGCAGGCAAGGTTTCATCATGATGTCAACTGTTTGTTCAGCCTCCGCCCTCGTCAGGACTTGAGACATTGTTTGCTCTGTCCTACACAGACAGGTGGGTGTTCCCGGGCTAAAACCGGCACTCACTCTGGGGTAGTGCAGGCAGGGCTTCACTTCTTTCAGACTGGCTGGGCTGCGTTTGGTGAAGTAAACATGTGGTCTGGATCATAATTACTGTGGTGGGACTGTGAGAGGGATATTTGTGATACGTGTCAATTTGAGAGTGTGTGCGTGTGTGTATGTCTGGTCTACTGGTTGTGCGAAAATGAAAAATATTATTTTAAGACACAATCAAGGGTGTTGTCTGAGCACGATGATGATCATTTAAGGGGATGAGACGCTGACTTACCAAAACTTCCAGTTCATTGCTGCCCAGGTCCAGCTGTTCCAGTTTCACCAGGAAAGAGAGCGACCTGTATCAAAGCACAACCGGTTACGTCACACAAATATGTGCACTCAAAGAACAAAGAGCTCCGGCTCCAACTGGTAACAGCATACCATTCATTCACATGTAGTGATGTACGTTCATAAACCTGCTGTTACAAGTAACTCGTGGTGTGTGCCTTTCCCAAAACGTCTACAGTAATTGACAGGTAAAGTAGTAGTGACAAAACACCCCAATGAAAATATGTATGTGTGGTATGAGCAGAGATGAAAAACTTACGTGGGCAGAGACTTCAACAGGTTCTCCCTGAGCTCCAACGTCACCAGGTTGGCCAAACTACAAAAGCAGGAATGGCAGAGAACACGAGGCACATAAATGAAGAGAAACAAAAAATATGAGGGGCAGGAGTTGGCAGGTGAAGAGAATAAAGGATGGGGGAGGAAAAGAAGGGAGAGGAGAGGCAGGCTGGTTAGTCAGATGGCGGGTCTGTTCGTCTGGGCTGCCAGGCGTGGTGAGGGACTCTTCCATCTGTCTGAGAACAGCAGTGGCCCGCAGCCTCCTCAGAGTACATCGGTACTCCTCGAGAACCTGCACGCTCGCTTTATTCGTGTACATCTGTAAATCTCAGTGGCCACAGGCTACAGTTGCCCCTTTTTGCAACCTTTAAGCACTTAGGTTCTCAGTCTTAGGCCTGTGATTTGTCACTAAAGTGTGCACAGCGACTGCTGCACCCTCTGCTTTTGGCACAAAATAAGGAAATATTTGGCTTTGGTTTCAATTTAGTTTAGTCTCTCCAGGCTTGTAATAATACTATAACTATTGTGATCTTTTAAGTTTGGTTTCATTTTTTTTTGCATAAAATTAATTTTTCTTCATCTAATAACCAGCAATGGCAGAAAAATGCGCACTTACATGAAGTACAGTAACACAGCACTCACTGTCAACTATTGGCGCAACCAATCATGCATACATTCACAGCCACCCCTCATTCCCAAAAGCCAATTTTAAGCCAGGAAATACCCTGATCTGTGGTTCCAACTTTCCATTCATGAGTTTTTTTGTGCTTTGCCAACTACCAGCTTGTTGGCACCGGTTGTTCTTCAGTAAAAAAGGAATGAACCTGGCTCTAGATTAGGCACCGGCATCGGCACAGTGCTGGAAAGAGGACAAAGGGGCCTTTCACGACGTCCCAGACCAGGAGCAAGGTTTTTCATTTACAATGAGATAAAAGATAGCCAATGCTCCCACTTGCGTCAGTGTTGCTTTTATTTTTTTTTTCTTAATCTAACCAAGAGGAAAAACTGAAAAAATAAACAAAAACAATCCTTTTAACTTATCAGATTGTCTTCTATGAGCCATAATGAGCGCGTACATACTTTCCAATGTCGTTGGGCAACATCTGTAATGACACATCATTGAGGGCCAGGTGAGCGAGCGCTCGGAGTTGAGTGAAACCATCCGGCAATCTGAGGCAGAGAGAGAGAGGAAAATGGTGTCTGTTAGATTTTAATGGCATCAGCCAACTCACACACTGACTACTAGCCCTCCACATCTGTTAAAGAAATCAGGATCAAAGTTTCTGCCAGCTGTTCAATCACTTTTCCATAGTAGGAGCGGAGCGATATTGATGACAGGGGGTAAGAAGATGATGAAGGTGAACGGGGCTATAATGGGAATTAACTGGTATTCTGGTTAAGCCAAGCGGTAGTAAGCACGCAAAACAATGATCAGCTCCAGACATGTGTTCATTTACTGTTCCTAATCCTTACTTAGCAGTGAAACGAGGGTCACACTCCACAAACTCGATATACTGTTTACATGCACACACACGAACAACTACAATATTTAAAAGTTCACTTCACTGCACACTTAGCAAAGTAATTAGAGCAAAGAAAATGACACTCGCGCTTCATTTCGTCAGTCAAAACAGTGTTGCCCCCACAACTCTGCTCTCGTTACTGTATCTGGGAATACCCCGTTCTTATATTTTCCCCACACTGATCATAAAAAATGATGGGCTGTTGAAATGCACTTACCTGGAGAGGGGGTTTCCACTGAAGTCTGCAATCTCCAAGGCCCTGCAAAACTTAATGCTCTCTGGGATCTCAGAAATATCTGCAGGAGAAAAAGAGAAGAAGGAGGAGGAGTCAGCGTTGTGGATGCACAGATGTGGATCGTGAAACGAGCTGATGCTATAGAGCGAATGATTTTAAAAAGTTCCTCATAACCACAACCAGATGCCAAAGAGCAGAGAAGTCAGAGAAAAGAAAATGAGAGAAAAATGAGACGTTTTTGTTTTTTTTTGCAGAGGTCAAAGTGTAGCAGTACATCTTGATTTTCTCAGGAATGCACTGATTGTGAAGATCTAGGCCAATAGTGGTGATTAAAGACACATGCACATATGTGTTTCAGCTAATTCACGTGATTTTTGTTCTTATTAATGACCATTTAGAGTCAGGAACCAAATAATTATTCATTATGAAATAATATCTATCCTTTTTCAAAGTCTTGCAGCTCTTCATCGCATGAGCTTTGAAAATTTAGTACAAAATTAATTTAACCAGCTCATTCAACAGGGCTGATATCAGTGCCAGTTCTAATAGTGTGGTATAATTTTAATATTTACATTAGCATTTTGTTTTCATGTTCCTTTTTTCAATTTAATTTAGTTTCATTAGGTTTCAAAACTACATTTGCTTGTTTCAGTTTTAGTCATGTTTTATTGCTTAATATTTAGCCTTTATTCTTTTATTAAAGTTTTTATGATTTTGATATAATAAGCACTTGTCAAAGGAAACACCTTTTCAAAGCAATTGACTTATGTTTACACAGAGATCTCAGTCTCAAGAAAATCACAAACACTTCTTATGGTGGCAAAAATAACCAAATGAACATAAATTAAAACTAAGGTGAGCACACAATACCATATCAGTTATCGCTCAGTCACACTAAAAGACCTCTTTGTGGCTAGGGTAAAAATCTGTGGTTGTCCAAAGACTGCATTTAACGTTTGAGATTGTGTCTAAGGAGTTGCGGTGACCAACTGGTTGCCCACAGGTTGAGTGTGCGACACCCACGAGCAGATTCTGGGCGAACACTTTTGATACACAGGTGTTTGCGATCGTATTCAGACTAACTGCAATCACTCATAGATCGCTGAGGGTTTGCAAATGATTTTTGTCTAATTCATAAACGCAGACAGGTCAGCAGCGTGGTGTAATCAATCCGAGCCAGTCTCCGCCAATCAGTGCAACTTGTCTGGGACATCTCTGTGTGATTGAGACTTTGGTCAGCTGATTGAAACTGGTGTGTTCTTATTATATCCCTATATAAAAACAAGACTGCCGGGTGCCTTTTTTGAATTAGTTTCAAACCTATGAGATTCTGGCAAGACTGTAAGACGTAACTATGAGTTTTTGTGTGTGCAGAGAGCAACAGATTTGCAGTTTTCACCAGTTTATTACACTTACTCGCCATATTGAACAATTTACATGTAACTGCCGAGTTGGTCCCATTTAATCGCAGACTGACTCTTTCTTTCATTTTATCTGTCCAAACACACCAGCTCTGAAGAAGGCAACTGACTGTGCATGGCCACATCAGTTACATTTGATACATACATCTGAATCTAACTGCATTACATTTCCTGAGTATAAAGACAGAGAGCATTGTGTAATACTATGAAAACCACACCCCCAACAAGGGAAAACAATCAACATGCAACTATGGGCTGAAACACTAACAAAACGCCTTAAGCTGACTGAAAACATTAAGTCAGAGGATTATTTTAGTAGCCTATGTTTAGTACAATACAGTCAGTGGAAAGCCACAAACTTTTTCCCCTGGGGTGTGGGTGGGTAGGTGGGACTTGATTGCAGCCCGTCTCTCTAGTAAAATTCATGGCTAAAGATAAAGAAGGAATTAAAGACAGACAAAATTATATAAAATAAAGTTGCAGCCAGATGGTGTGCACGCTTCTATTGCTGTATATAGACCTAAGGTATTAGGCAAAAAGTGAAAAAAATGAGTAAATAATAGTAGTTTTATGATTAAAACAATGCTTCTTCGTGTAAATACTATGTTCAACAGATGCCAAAAAGCATGTCCTGTTTCATACCAACACAGAGCATGTCCACCTTCGGAGTCGACGTGTGCAGCAAACTGGCTGTTCAGTTATGAGTCATCAAACCGACTCTTCACAGTTTAAACGTGAATGAAAGCGAGCCGTTCACCTGCTCCCATCCACCCGAGGTCTTACACAGCTGACCACCTCTGTCGATACCTGCAGCAAGACTCCATCAATAGTTGTTTTAAGGTTTCAGTTACTAAACCTTTTGCAGATTTGTTGTCGTAAGCTAAAATATAAGTCTACTAATAACTATGCTGTGATATTATAAACTAAGTTAGAAGTATATAATCATATTAATTTTGGGGCCAATGATTAAAACTTTACATGGGACGAGCAGAAAGTCTCATCTCCTGGACACTGTAGTTGCCTGGCACCCTGAGAGTACGTCACAGCCCTGCTGAAATTAGTCCCTTCCAGAAGGCAGATCAACGACACCACCTTACCTTGATATTAAGAGGTAGCAAAATAGTTTGTACAGTGCCAAACAGCTTAAATGTTTACTTTACTCTTGGTTGCTTAGTCTAGTGCACATATAAAAAGGCAGGGGAGGAAATATGACCTAGTGGCATCATTGCAAAGTGTATTTTCACTACTGGAGGCTGCAGGTGCACACTCAGAAATCCCTACAGAGCCAAGCAGCCAATCACATTTATCTGGCTCAGCACTGTCCTGCAGCAGGAGTGGGGAAGCAGACAGGCAGACAGATGGGAAAGGCCCTCACAGGCCACTGCACACTGCCTCCCCCAGCACTTGATGCAGTGTGTAGCAGGGCAGATGTCTCCTATCTAACACAGAGACCTTTCTGCCACTACCACGGCGTTTGTGTATGTGAAGTATTCAAGGACGTGGAAAGGGCAAGATATTTGTGCGCATTACAGCAGAAAATAATATCGCTGGGCAAACTCAGACGTGGGTTTCACCTTACCTTTCTGACCGAGGGCAGAATCAGCAGTTTGATTTGGATGGTTTTGTCATTTAGGCGTACATTTATAGATGGCTATCTGAATCTGGCACAGAGGGCTAGCTAATATTTAACTGATCTGACCATGCTCTCCTTACACTGGGGTGCAAAAATTTGTTTCCACTGCAAGCTGCAGGTACTGCAGTGACAACGAAAGACTGCTGTCAACCTGAAGCAAACTTAAAGATGTAAAATGCAAATATAAAGATCATAGAAAACTACTCCAGCAATTAATCTGCATACAGGCAGGTTTCATTTCTAAAATCTTCGTCATGGTGTTAAATAAAGTGATGGTTTATGGGAGAAGCTGAAGCTTCATGTCTAACCTTGTGGAACAGGTGATTTGATAAAGTGCTACTACTGGCTTTTTACCCTCACTGGTTTTATTATGATTATTATGATTAGAGTAACAAGGGCTGCTGTTGTGAAGTCTAGAAAAGTGTTTTCTTTGACTTCACCTGGGTTCGCCGTCTCAGGCACAGAGGCAGCTCCTCACAGCTCACTGTGTGTGTCAGAGAAACGAGGCTTCGGCACGAGGCTGGACCGCTGATATGAAAAATAGATGCTTCTGGGCTTTAACCTTGTATTCTTTTTATTTCTCCACATACTTGTGGTACGTTTTACCGTCGTCATGCATCGATTTTTAGTCACCGGTGCGAATGAAGCGCTTGTGCTGTCTGGCCATGTACAGCGTTGGCTTCATGTTGTCTTTCAACCCCAATAAGACTAACCGCTTTATTTCACTAACCTCATACACCCTGACCCCAATTTTATAACATAAAGCTTAACTTAACTGAAGCCAATGTGACCCCTGCATCAGTACTTTCTGCAGTACTTTCTGCATGTATAAAGAGCACACGTCGTGTCATACTCTGGAAGCCACATTCAGTGACGGGTAAAAACTGTCAGTCCCATTGATATGAAGATGAGTTTAGTTGTTTAAAACCATCAGATTTGGACCTTTTAAGTCAAAGTCACTTCATTTAATGTGAAAATAAGTGGGTGGCAGCATAAAAAGATAAATGTTTGTTAGAGAGGGGTTTCACGGGTGAACACAACTGTCACTGGTGGAAACTTCATTACAAAGTTGGCCAATGAACTTGCCCAATATACAGTTCTTACTGGTCCTGGGCGATCAAGACACTGGTTATGTCCTCCTGAGTCCTTTTACTTCATAATGTTTTCTATACTTTGCTAAACAATGGTGACTTTATTGTTTTATGCTGTAAACTAAAGTCACTATCCCCATATGAGGACATACTTTTAAAACAAATGTGTCAAAGGGTGGTTTTATGAGAGTTATGACAGATGGTTCGCAGTGAGCTTGTACCGTTCCTGGAGATGTCCAGTTCCACCAGTTGCATGAAGTTAGCCACCTCAGGCGGGAGTCTCTGGATCTCATTGTCGCTCAGGCCGAGTTTCCGGAGGTTCAGTAGTCTGAAGAAAGGCTGTAAACACACATTAAACAACATTAGTCAGAAGAACTCTTTCAATCAGGCTCAATGCACAAGCAGCAGGATGATAGCATTTGAGAATTAATGATCAAAAAAATCTCATGATTTCAGTCCCTGGATTAACTGATGTACTAGTTGTTTCAGCTTTATTAATGTTCCTTTTTAGACCAGGAGTAGTAAGAGCAATGCGATCTCACATAAAATTAAGAGCTGATGATGGTCCACATGCAGCCTCAGGCATATCCACAATTTAGTTATGATTACAGGGCGCAATTAATGATTCCTTTCCTTATTGATTAATTCTACGGATTATATCAACAGCAAACTTGAAACAAGGTCAAAGGTCTGGCAGCAATCCCAAAAATAATACTGCCTCTCTTCAAGGAAGTGTTAACCTTCCCTGAAGGACGGTAATAAAAATATTTTCCAACCAGTTTTTGTTATTATTATCAAATTACAGGAAAATGCAGAAACTTCTGTAAAATAAGGTAACGCAGACTCTTTAATTTAACTATACCCCCACAAAGGCACATTATGAGAAAGGAAAACCCTGTGTGGTGATACAAAACAAAAGATAAGCAGATTAGTGTTTTTGTGGCACAAAAATTGACACACAAGATAAGTAAATGACTCCAACAAACACCTAGTAGATAAATTAGTTCATTGTTTTGGTCAAAAGTCCTACAAACGATTTCAGTTGTGTTTCTCAAGTGTTGTTGACATTCCTCTCTGCCCAACCATAAATTCAACATGAAACATCCTTTATGTTTCATGTTGGGGGGGGGGGATTAAAATCCATCCTTATATTCTCACAAAAAATAAAAATAAAAAATTCCTCCACACCATGGCAACGGCGGCCAAACAAAGTGGCTTTCGTTCGCAGAGCTGGGAAGAGTGCTGCGGCTGTGGCCATGCCAAGTGCTTTCACAAGAGCCTGGTTGTTGGAGAGGCGAGCGTTCAGAAACATTCCTCCGCCAGCCGCACTGTGTGCGTGTCATCTGCTGCTCAGATGGACAGACAAGACAAGCTGGCGAGGAGCAGCAAGAGTAACAGGACAGAACTATGCAGTTATTAACCCCTCAATCAGACCCGGATTGTACGGCCCACAGAGGATCCACTGTCCACCCTGTCAACGGTCCCATCAACTGCTCGGACAGGGAGGAACAGCCTCCAGGAACTTGCAGACTAAAGCATTCTGGAAAAGGAATTTGTATAAAGTTATTCTTCGGGTTGTTTTTCTGAACATAGAGTGCACTCACATCCGCAAGCTTGGAGCCTCGACCTTAATTCAAATTAAACCTCAAGCCATCAGCAGCATCTTCTGCTGAAAACAACTTTTGTGTTTCAATCACCAATGATTCGTTTACTAAACTGAAAAATCCAAACAATTTCTAAGCTCTTCCTCCTCCACTGTGGATTAAAGATTTTTAAAAACCTGCTTACGCTACAGCTTCTGAACCTTTGCATAAATATGAAATAAATCAGATAGCGCCAAATCTTCTTTCATGTGTATTATGAGGATTTTGTCTGACATAAGGGTAAAAACAAACATCCCGAGAGAAAGCCTGCGTTTAAGCTTGTGTTCAGCTCCACTGGTTTCCTCAATGACATTGATAACTAGCGATGCGTTTCGTTTGGCAGGGGTTAAAAGGCATTTTTACCCCACAAATTTGGCTCGTCTTTTGCTGGCAGCGCAATGACGGGCTCGTCGGTACTTTCCAAAATTCTGATTGGAAGTTCCCCACCTGATGGCGAGTGAAATGGGAGGAGAACATAAACAGAGAAAATAAACAGAGAGTGGGCGTTGGCTCATTGAGGAGCAGGTGAGAGGGATTAAATGGCAGAAACGAGAAACAGGAGCTGAGAGGTGATCATGTGAACAGGTAACCATGTGCAGGAGCCAGGTGGGAACCAGCCTCTGGGAGGGGAGGAGGAAACCTTACTGGGCAGAACAGGAAAAACTTAAAGATGAAAAACCCCTCAGGGTGGTGTTAGAACCCCCTCACTTGAACCAGAGTTTTTAAGCTCCTGGAGGGACACGACACTACGACTACTGGTTACAGGGAGCTTTTTTTCTGCACACTTGTTACCCAGAATTTGATCAATAAGGAGAGCGTAAGTACCAACACTCCAACGCCCTCCTGTTTTGCCATTACTCCCAGCAAACTCCTGGAATTTGCATTGGTCTCAGTGTTTATTTTGAATAATTGGAACACACGCATCAACAGGTCTCGTGCATTTACCTCACATTACCTAAGTTACCAGATGAATCCAGTCTACATACACAGTCCATACCCTCCGTGCAATATTACCCCATCTGTCACTGCAACCACATCAGGATGAATAACTAAATAAAATGTTGTAAACAAGAACAAGAACAACAATAAAATCTGCTCTTGAATGCATCTAATTTCAGAACGGCTAATAAATATCAGCTCCTTCAATGAGACCCGGGTCTGATGTCTTGGACGCTTCCACCATGACTGATCTATTTTCAAATCAAACACTGGAAAACAAGCAGTGTCATACTGGTCAATGGGTCATCAGGAATTACAAGTTGTGTACCCACACTGTTGTCTCTTCAGCGCAGCGTGGCAGTCTGTTCAGTCACTTCAGTGGGATTCGCAGGACTGCAAATATGTACGTGACGGTAACCATTTCTGGAGCGAGATGACACACTGGTGACAACGAGACCAGTGTGATGCTTTTCTTTTACGACTTTGCAACCAGAGTGTTTTAATGAGGCTCCGACAAGAGCTGTTTGTACAAGGAAGAGAGTGAAGCTGTGAACAGGAGGATGTTTTACTGCATAGCAGCAGGGAGTGAAGGGGGGCAGACCACAGGCGTCAGCAGAGGGCAGTGTGGCAGTGCGGGGTGTCAGAACACTTATAGCAATATGCAGCATATCAGTCAATACAGCCCACTTTCAAGTTTCACTTGTGCCTACAGAAAAACATTCAAACTAGAAACAGTAGCCAAGCCTAAGAAACGCAGACGGTTAAATATTTGTTTGATCAGGACGTCTCGTTCAGCAGACGGGTCAGTTTTTATTGGAAGCACGATGTCACAAACACAAAATAGAAGGTAACTGAAACAGGAACAGAAGGTAAGCTACACATGCTGGACTTCATCAGTTATGAAACAAACACATGGATGCGTTTAGGTTTAATTGACTTTTGATCAGCCTTTAAAAAAAAAAAAAAACCTCTTGCCTCCCCCTTCACCTAAAACCTGAAGGCGAAGTTCTTCTCTGTCATGGTTTGTTTTGTTTTTCCCTTTTGTGGGTTTTATGCTTTGCATTTATATTTTTGCACCAACTTGTCTCGACAGGAAAGCACGTTTGGTCAGCCTCTTTTTTTAAATGTGCTATATAGATAAAAAGTGACCCGACTGCATGCAAGTTAGTTATGAGAATTGACACAGCTGCACAGATGCAGTTCGATTCTGGTAAGATTTCACTAGTGGGAGGACTGGGTCTGTTTAACTTGGGTGAAATGTTTTGTGTGCAGTGTGTACTTATTCAGGAAATTCCTCATTGGTATAGAGTAAAATCAAGCCCGATCACCCTGCCTGCTATAGAGAGCAATGCATCTAACAAAAACAAACACTAAGCTAAAGGCATGCTGCCCTTCAGTGCATGGAAACTCCCAAGATGCTTCGTCCTGTTTAGGCTGCATTGCACTCAGACGAGGGCTATGTGCCTCAGGATGTGTTTGCACGCATGCTTGTTCATCACAGTCATCATTTAGGCATACCAAAGGAGATCCTGCTTTGTAGGTCTTTAACTCAGAGCACATGAGTATGCAGAGTATTATAGTCTTCAACACCGGTGTTGTTCGCACGGACTCTACATGGGCGAGTCACCCAGGATTATTTGGCAACTAATTTTAGCATTTTTAAATTTCACTTCTTTTTAAAGTTTTTAAAAGTTCAGTCCCAGCAAGTCAGTGCCCTGGTGGTCTTCTCTATCATTCAGCTGCTTCAGTGTCTTGTCCCAAACTGCACTCCACCATACTGCACTGCAAATGGCAACGATAGTCATTGTCCTCATCTGGAGGGCCACTCCAGCTACTGTCTAGGATCCTTTATTTGTTCAGTCACAAAGTGCTTGGCAAATAACTTCTTTGCAGGGGAAAAATAATTACATAATTTATTTAAGAAGGAATAGCCCCATTGCCACAGTGCCCTAAATCTGTGGAAACACCTCACACTCCCAAGTTAAAGTCCTCTGCTTAACCCACGCACCACTGCACAGACTGTCTACACAGCTATGATGCGATCTGAGGAAACACCTGCAATTGGTGAAGTCTCCCACTCCAAGCTATATTTTCTAAATCCTGAGAGTCCAGGAGTCCACTTCACTCTCAGATCACTCCAATTACAACATGCTTAAAGGTTATTATGAATTTCTTTTGTCTAATACTGTCAAAAATGTGTTGCATATTCCAGCTTCAGAACTCCGGCTACAGTAGTAAGACTGTCTGGGCATTAAGGCAGCAGCCATGTGCACTGAAGAAGTCTTAAATCTACATGTATTTCTACATACACTGGAAATACATGTCAACCTCACTTAACTCCAATTAAAATGTGGCTACTTATACCATGAGGAAATCTGGGTGGACTGTACGTGCTTTGTATTAGTGACGTTCGACCGTTAGACCAGGCCTGATGTTTACAGAGGCTGCAGTGTTCCAATCAAGTGATTCCAGTTAGCTTTTAGTTTCCCTCCAATCCTGCCATCTGACTAGAGACGGAGCAAGCCGATCTACAAGCACGCACACAAAAACTTAATTCAACCTTCTTCTTTTTCTTTTTTTTTTTAAAACAAAGGGTATTTGCACCGGATCAGGGAGAAACTTCAATCTAAAAAAAATGTCGGTTTGTTGACTAAAAGCTACTTTTTAAAAACATATTTCAAGAAATTAATTGTAATTCAGACTGAAGAAAAGTTAAGTAACAATCCAAGTCTTCAAAGCTGTGCTGAGGTCATTAAA